TATTAGACCATGCCACTCGACGCTCGCAGGCAGTACGAGACTCAGCGAATCCACAGACAGTTCATTCTCCACACGAGATATTGAGGCAGCGATGTTTCGGTGGACTCTGTCGATAATTCATGATTCTTCACGCAAGAGATATTTTAAAAGGTATCAAAGCTTTTGCCCTTCACACGAGATATCGAGATATTTAAATCTCTGCCCTCTGCACGAGATATCGAGATATCAAAGTCTTCACCCTTCATACAAGATATCGAGAAATTGAACTCTCTGCACGAGATATCGAGATATCGAAGTCTCTGCCCTCTGCACGAGATATCAAGATAACAAAGTCTCTACAAGCGAGACATAAGGAAACTACAGGAGAATCGTTGTAGCGACACCCCACTTCCGCGTGAGACAATGAGGCAGTGTCGACCAGTGCCACCTTCTCCTCTGTACCGGAGACGACCGCTAATCAATGATTTCCGCATAAATTAACATGTGCGCGCCTCGGTGACATTGCGGATAATGACATGCGTCCTAGCTGTTCGCAATGAGCGTGTTAACTGTTAACTGTTATGCTGGCGTGTTTACGCCGCTTACACACAGGGTTTGCACACCTGGGTCAAAAGAATTTTTTCCAGGAGTTTTCGGGGGCGTAAAAAGTTGATTTTCCACGACCGCGAGATTGCAGCCGGATACAATCCGCTCGCATCGCATCGTCAGATCAACGATTAGTGAACAAATTCTTGTACAGAAGAAAATTTCATTGCCTTTTTGGGGTTCGAAATTGGGCGTGCGATTGTGGTAAATGCAACTTTATTTTTTGAAAATTGTGACCTCAAAATCCCCTCCTATGGAAAAATTAGTGACCGATTTTTTCACAGTGAATCCTTGATTTTCTGCCTCTAAATCTCAAATTTATGAACGTTGGCATTATAAAGGCATATATATGGTTTTTGAAGTTTGTTTACCAAGTTACCAACCACTCGCTCTTATCTAGCTAGATACGTGCAATTTTATCACCTTTCCTAAAATGTCAGTTCTATTAGACAAGACTTCCATTTCTGGGACATTCTAGAACAGCACAAAATAATTGCCCATTTTCATGTATTTCCCAAGACTTTCTGTACCTGGATGACATTTTCATAATTTCATGATATTTCAGGATCCGTACACACAGGTATTCAGGATCTGATAGACACGCCCTACTATCCCAGCGACACGGGTCATTAAACGTAAGCAGATCACGTCATAGGTTATTTTAGTAACAGTCAAGGTAACATGAGCCGAGCGACACGGGTCGCACACGCCGGTCGCGTGGCGCACACGTGTCGCGCGCGGGACACAACAAAGGAGAGAGAGAAAGTAATCACTTACACAAGGCGACACTATGACATTTTAGTACCTATAGAAGGACATCACACCTTGATGTCGAATGCCGACTAATAAAGAACAAACAACGAACGCCGCCGACAAATGTGTACTATGTAAAATATGAGAACATGAATCGAACTGCCGCGACTCCCAAGGACTTCTAGAAGCTCCAGCTGCCATTCTCACGCTAGAGAAGGAAGTCTCTCACCTTCAGTTGTCCATGAAATTCTGGAGAAGGACACAGGATTGCACCATCCGCACGCAACAAGGCCTTGACGCGCGGGCCACGCATTCCTCCAGTAGTATAAATAACGAACAGTTTCGACAAGAAGGCAGACACGGTTCCACGGTGCCTGACAGCTCCCGACGCTGTCAGCACACAGGTTCCGCTGATCTCACCTGCTGGGGATCACCACAATACCGTCGCTGCTGGACATCACGGACTGAGGGCCTGCCTGCTGCCTGCGACCTGCAGGACTCAACGCTCGTAAATATGAACTGCATTTGTAAACCAGTCGCTTGTATGTGCCTGGTGTATAAGATATGTATTGTATGTATTGTATCGTATAAATTTACTGGTTGGCTTGCGTAGCCATCTATGTACTGTATGTGTTTATGATGTTGTTCATTAAAGAATAGAGTTACCGTAGCAATTCGGTGGTTATAGCATTAATTTATTATACTGTCTGTGGCTTAAGTGCTATTTGCACACGTATCTGTTGTACACGAACCTGGTCAGACTATACGATACGTGCTATGTAATAAAAATCAATTTTATCATCAATTTTTGCATGCTAAAAATCAATGTGCAAGCACGTGTGGAATTCCTCTTGCTCTCACACATTTCTCCCTGATTGCAACACAGTCATACTGCCCCTATCATCATTCACTCTCCATTTCTTCATTTTGGATGATAGTGATCACCAGGACGGATTACGTCACGAATTTCTAGCACCATCAAGTAGTATATTTGTGTGTTATTTGTACAAAATAAAATGTATGAAAATACATTTAGTGTTTCTGTTTACTTTTCATGCTTATATACCTTCTTTATATGCCCTAATTTGCCAGGGAAAAATAGAGAGACGCCAGTATCTGAACAGTACTGGGGGAATAGTGTTAGACAACAGAAATTACCAAATCGTCTAGATTTTTGCAAATTTAACCAACGTAAAAACATTTTTATCAGGTGAGAGTTGGAGGATATATTTAGTAACGTTAGTTCTTATTTTTAATGTAAAAAAATGTCAATTTTTTTTTATACAAATTTTACCATGGAAATTCGTGACGTACTCAATTTAAAGTCCTCCTCACGTTGAACAACAGGGGTTCAACCAGGATCTAAACCCCGCAAACTAATGGCAACGAATCCAATGCGCAGGACACGGCGGGCGGGCGGACTATATATATGTGTGCTTCTGCACATCGAATTAATGCGGCAAAAATGCTGCGTTCCGGTTTCCTTATTACATACGTGGGCGACTGTGACGCATTCACATATCATCAAGAGCAGATAAAGAAGGCTGAAGAAGGCAGATAAAGAAGGCAGATAAAGAAGGCCTTCTTTATCTGCTCTTGATATCATGTATATCTCTCTTCCTCTCTCTCTCTCTCTCTCTCATTCTATGTACACACACACAAACACACGCACGCATGCACGCACGCACGCACGCGCACACACATATATAGGGGGGAAAATTTGATAAATTCGCAGATATATAGGCCTATAGATCATCCGTGTCCGGCATGTATACATATTAGTTCCTATTATGGATTCTTGATATTAATGTATATCATGTACACGTATGGCTTTCACCGCATGCACACAAGGAACAGTGTGTGTGTAATTAAATATATCTGCTATTTATGTGTATAAATATACGAGAATCATATTATGATAACGTTGGCACTCGAGAGTAAGCATACACATACAGGCACCTGCATAGAGACACAGACGTACACGCACACAGACACACACGCACATGCACATACATACAACAGACATCTTTATAGGAATACGTATTGTGCAGACTGACTATCGATATCGTAATTCTGCAGAAACAATGATTTAAGCCACACCATCAGCAACTATACGTACATATATTTACATAATATATGCATATTTACATGTATCTACATAATATATGCATATTTACATGTATCTACATAATATATCGTCACGGAACTGAGGCCAGCTGTGGCAGATTAACATGCAAGACATGGGAGATGGACACATACAATAACAACCACACACACAGAAATGTATATATAACCACACACTAGTTCCTGTTCTGGCAATCCTGGTAGACCGTGGGGGGGGGGATAGGGGTGAAGGGGCGGAGGGAGGCTAAATCCAGTGAAAATGCAATACCAGTAGTCTGTCCACGCTACCAAGTAGGTCTACGTGTTATGTGGAATATTATGGTATTATAGGCATAGTAGTAGCAGGGTTCAGTCCGTCCGACATCTGTCCGTCCGTCCTTCAAAGCTGAAGCTAATTTGTGACATCCCATCCCATAAATCCTCTGACTTTTCAAACTTCGAGAAATATTTTTTGGAACTAAATTTTTCCTCGCAGCGAGACCGAGGCAGAGTGAGAGAGTTGCCTTTCCTCGCCCTTTCCCCTCTCCCTCTTGTACCGACAGCCGTAGACATACCAAGTTGCTGCTGCCTCCACTCCATCTTCTTCTTCTCGAGTTTGGAGAGTGGCTGCAGCTGCTGTTGCGGGCTGCCCATCGAGTCCCTGTGCCTGCCATCTAGAACTGGCTGCTGCTGCTGCTGCTGGTGGTACTGTTGCTGCTGCTGATGATGCTGTTGCTGCTGCAGCTGATGGTTCTGGAGAGCCTGTATTGTAAAGGTAAGCTACCAGTTGGTATTTATTTCGGCACGAGAGAAACACGACAGTGATAAAAAATCACGTGAGTCGCTGGTGACGATGAATGCTGAGGGTGAACCGAAGAGCTTCGTAATGGCATGTTATAGGGTTTTTTCTCACCATTATCAAATTTTTTGGCTCTCTGGCTCTCGCTGTCTCACTCTTTCTCTCTCCCTCTCTTTCTCTCTTTCTGTCTCTCTCACTATCTCTCTCTCTCTCTCTCTCTCTCTCTCTCTCTCTCTCTCTGTCGGTCCATCTCTCTCACGCTCTCTTTATCTGCCTGTCTCTCAGCCCCCCTTCCATTTTCTATGTCTCTCTTGTCTCTTTTTCGCCTGCCTTTCTGTCCCTCCCTCCCCATTCACCGTCACTCTTTCTCTCCCCCTTCTCTCGATCACTCTCTCTCTGTCTCTCAATTATTAACGTGTCGCAATCCATACCTTCTGCCGAGGCGAGGTTTCCAGCCGTACTGGCTGTCCCATCACTTTCAGTGTGGCAGATGTTGTGCCGTCGCCATCACTACCCAGCAGCTGCTGTTGCTGCTGCTGCTGCTGCTTCTGATGCTGTGCTTTGCCACTTGGATGCCTAGATTCAGAAAAACGAACTAGTTACACGTACTAACGAAAACGGTGTGATTTTAAGTGTGTGTGCGAACCTCGTACAGACACAGAACACGGACGAACGGACACGGAACACGGACGAACGGACACGGAACACGGACACAGAACACGAACGTACGGGCACGGTACACGTACGTACGGACACAGACACAGACGTATGGATACGGAACACGGACGTACGGACACAGAACACGGACGTACGGGCACGGAACACGGACGTATGGACATGAAACATGGACGTACAGACACAGACACAGACGTACGGACACGGAACACGGATGTACGGAACACGGATGTACGGGGACACAGACACG